GTGAAGAGTTAGGGTATCTTCCTTTCACTTATTTTAATGCTAAAACTATTTGTGAATAATTTACGTATTGACTACTACTTTTTTGTCGATGCAATTAAGGAGTCTTTATCATACGTTTGGTTCACCGTTTGCGGACAGTCCGTGTAGACCACATGAAATAGGTAAGGCCCTAAAGGAATGTATACTTTTGAAAATGCCTAAGGAAACTTTATTGATTTTTAATCCCTTTTGAATCCGTCCCGTTGCAAAGATTAGTACAGTAATTGTTGAAAGGATTTGCTGTAAAAACCGAAAGATGTCAAAGCTTAACGAACATGTGACAGTTTTTGTGACAGACCCTTTATTTTTAAGACAATGTCTACTTGCAGTCGCATGTTGAACTGTCAAGTTTAATATTTATGATCAGTAAGATCAGTTCTGGAGCAAAATTTTACTGTGTTTTCTCCATAGACTATCATGTGCCCTCGGAGTACCGGATAAACTCATTTATCAGGGACAAGGTATAGAACTGTGATGAATTGATGTTGTAGTGAAAAACAGCTGTTCAAACAGGCCTGTTTAGCTAACAAAGCGTTCTGTCCAACTTCGATCACCCTTATTACTTTAAAGTCTCAATATTGTCTTTGTTTTTCCTTATTTTTTTTTCTCTTTGTGAGGTTTACCAGCTTTTTGAGGTCTGTTCATACTTAATCTTTTTTAAATTGTAATATTTTTTTCTTTTGTGTTTTTGCAGCTTGCACCCATTAAACTCAGTCGGTATACGGAGGATTTGCTCTTCTATCTCTATTACACGAATGGAGGAGATATTCTCCAACTTGCAGCCGCAGCTGAACTGTTAGTACAGACAATTTGTTTTTACCCTCCTAGTTCTTTAGGATGATTTCTTTTTAACTGGTGTGCTGAGTGTGAGGTTCCCCCAACGCAATCCCTATTTGTGGACAGAGGAGACTTCGTTGTCGAAGGAATGATACCTTTTTAACTCCTGCAATTGAAACTTAACCTTTTCTTCTTATTTGTGAAGTCAAGACACGGCTTCTATCGGCCCTCTTCTACTGCTAACCGAGCGCAACTTGATCATTCGTGTTTTACTGTGTTTCTGGCCGGTGACTTGTACCAAATTTAAGTTCTGATTGGTTCCGTGCTCTACGTCCCTTTTATCTGATTGGTTTACGTAATGAGTTTGGTTTTGGTTTTCAAGCCCTCGGCTCAAAAGTGCACAGGTGCTCACGTGTGTAACGCGTCATCTTAATGCTTACTGGTTATCCTCTCTAGGTATGCACGTGATTGGCGTTACCACAAAGACGAAAGACTATGGTTGACACGTGCTCCTGGTGTTGATCCTCAAGTAAAAACGAATTCATACGAACGAGGAACATACTACTTCTTTGACTGTAGTACGTGGAGGAAGGTTGCGAAGGAATTCCATTTGGAATACGACAAGCTAGACGACAAACCTACACTGCAGTCTGTAACAGCACAATGACATCTTTAGCCTAGCTACGTGTTTGACTTTGAGAGCAAGAACTTTCTTTGTGAAAATGATTTATCTTGTACACTGTCTCTGAAATAATATTTTGGTCGTGTTTAATACTTGTAAAAAGCTATTCGAGATTTGTGATATACCAGATATCATTAAAGAGACTTTTGAGCAGTTTTAGGTGGCTGTTTCTTCTGTTGTTCCTCGCTTTAACCCTGTAACCAATTGGAGTGACCAAAAAGGCATCATCGATACATTTTAGAGAAGACGAAATTAACAAGAAAGAAAAAAATCAACTGGAGGATTTTGTTTGAGTTGGCACTAAATTCTAAGACCACTGAAATCAAAAGAAATGTTTGGAAGAAATTGCCGGCAATTGAAAATTGGGTCTTGGGAGTTAAAAGGTTAAAGGAGTTTCCTAATGATAATTAAAGTCATTTCTACGATTTGAAGGAAACCTTGACCTTGAAATTCCGTCACAAAGCATCCTTCACGGTCACTCGACGTAAGCTGTCATTAGACATCTTTCACCGTTTTTGTTTTGTTTTGTTTTTCACCTTTTACCATCACAAGGCATCGATCTCTGTCACCGTCTATCGACCTTTAATGATCCCTGGCAAAACTGAATGATTTCTAATAAACGAGAACGATGCTCGGTGAAGGTGGATGATGTCTTATGACGGGGAACGATGTCTTATGATAATAAATGATATCTTATGAACGTGAATGATGCTTATCGAAGGAGAATGGTGAGTGACGCCTTTAACCGGTTTGACGATGTCTTGTGAAGGTGGATGACAACATAAAACAAATAGATGTCCAGTGACGGAAAATGATATATTATGAGGGTAAAGGAAACATATGACTGTGATGCCTGCTTAAACTGATGTCTTGTTGATGTTGTCTACTGTGTCCAATGACCAGGAATTATGCCTGCGGACTTGTACCCATCAATCGGGCCCGAATTACTGAAATTTAGATAACTACCTTGTAATTGATTACAATGAGCGATGAAAAGACCTTAAGCAGTCTCACATATTTAAAGACGGATTAATTTGTGGAACATTGTTTGCTCGAAGTACTCAAGGACTTCGTAAAAGCATAATAAACAAAGGATACATTGTGACTACCACATGGAGCCTTGAACTGCCAGGAAAGTAGCCACGTGACCCATGATTATTGTACGAAAATGGCGCAGGACCGTGGACACATGGTGAACATGATTTCCGGTAATGTGGAGCTACGATACAACGTCTCGTGGATGAAGAAAGCTTGAGCTGTTAACCAGCGGATAGTGTTGAACTGAAATTGGAATCTCACAGCGATGAACGTGGTTGTGAAAAGGGTAAGCTGTGTTTATATTTTTACTTTGGGCTGCGAACCAGAGCTTGAGAGACATCTTTTGTCCGTGTGTAAATTTGTAGCATTTTCATTCATCTTGTCACGTATCTCCAGATTAGATCTCTGTGCATTTCTTACCTTCCTGATCCTTTATCGTCAGGAGTTTCGGACAACTTACTCGCTTTGGTAAAGTGACTTTTAAAAATACTCTCTGGGTGTTAAAACGTTGAAGGTGAATTATGTACGATTGAGACTTCAGATTAGAAAGTGTTATCTTGGACTTGAAGAGAAATTCTCTATTGTCTAGAAGCTGGTCATAATGGAGCGTGCAGCTGCATAATTTGGCAGGTGTTCTATATTCTTCAAGGCTCACCTTGCACACCAGAATAATAACCTTGAAATCATAGTTCTTTGCTGTAAATTAACTCAGCAGGAATGTAAAGCACAAACAAGAAGGCTCTGAAATCACGAGGTCTTGTCGAATCTAGTTATGCTTTACACCACTGAACGATCCTAAAATAATATCGTTCTGGATTTAATTGTGGGCTTTTCTAACAAGGTTATAATTTTACCTGGATCATAAGCTGTATGGAATTTTTTCCCTTTCTTGTTTAATTTCCAATGCAGGAAAAGGACTGTAGTTGGCTGGGGCAGTCAATTGATAGAACCTGTGAATGGTGTTCTTCACCTGATTTTATGAAAAGCGACCTCCCAGGATATATTGATAAACCACTGGATGATTGGCCAGCAGATTTACTATTAGATCTCTGCTACTGCTTTGACTGTGTACAGGAGTATCACAGGCTACAGGAAGAGTTGACTGAACAGAGGCAAAAAAAGGTACTGTTACTGTGTTATCCTTTTATCACAAGGATAGCTGTCAGACTGTGTACTTATTGACTCAGTGGGAGGAACTGAACATGAAAATATTTAGCTCAACCTCATGACATATGCACGGACTAAGCGAAGGGAGTTCAGTATGTCATTTATGAGAAACGAATATTTTCTCCTCTGGCTGGAACAAACTCAGTCAATAAGCATTTTATCACATTACCACTAAGTGTTAAAAATATAAAAAAAACCGTTTCTAACTAAATAGGATGTGTATGATAGGAACATGGAATTATTTAATGAAATCATATGATTTAATTATTTTATAATATCAAAGCATTGAATTACTATAGGAGACTAGCCATATGATCTCACAGCATTTTTCTATTGCGTGATATTCTCAGAAAAACAGGAAATCAATCATGGTAAGGCTGTTAGACAAATCCATGGAAAAAACTCATGAGGATATAAACTTTTTATTCTTAATGTCATGGTCATTGTAAATGCTATTACTAAATAAGTAAATACTAATCTTGATTTTAAAGTCTGAGTAAGCAAGTTATTTGTATCGAATTTTTCGTTTGTTATGTCAGTCATTTGACCAAGGGTCACAGCCTCAGCATTGCATTCTGCTCTTTTCAAGTTAATAATCTTTTTGTCTTTTGCATCCCAACAATCATTGTTTGAAATCATCTGCTAATTTGTGAAATCTTGTTTTGCAAAAAATTTGATTCGAAGCATAGTAAATGGTCGCTGGCATATGAACATTCTTAATCCAGTGATGATTAAAATTAATATCACCTTGAAAGGATTCACTACCATCCAAAATTCTGTTCATGATAGTGTCAACCTTTTTTTTTTGCTTGATCCATCTGGTGGCTACATTGGATCTCCATTTTAACTTTTGAGAATATGAGAATATGGGAGAGATTTATTGTTCAATGTGTGACAAGCAACTTCAAGAACATACTGTAAAAAATGAACAATGTTGTGAAAATATGAAACTTGAAAAAACAACAAAGAAATTGTATGTGTTAGTAGTGGATTGATTCAAGGATATAAATATGTGAAAGAGTACATAAATTAAAATGAAAATAAATTTACAATTATGAGAAAATCAATTATCATCGAAAGTATCACATTTATAATACAATCTTCAATAAATGTAAAAGGTACAATATACAAATATCCAAAAATGATAAAAATAAGATATAAGATATTTTTTAAAAGATTGATACATCATTGTAATGGTGATTGCAAACAGACAATCAATATTTGTTTTATTTTAACACAAATATTCAAAATGATGAAATTACAATTTAAAAATATACCAATATATTCAAAAAGAATGTTAGCATTTTATAACCAATATTGGTGTAAAATTCAAACACTCATCAGTGATGAAATCAAAACAATTATTTGGAGACAAAATTTAATTTTTGTGAATACTCCTTATCCCTTTTGTCAAGTAAAGGACACATATATTGATGATGATATCATCAAGAACCCTCAGCTGAGTCAAATTATTTTGATCATCACATGATTTGCCTCTCATAGAGGACTGCAAGTCAACCAGTACTTTTTCATATGATGTGTCAGCAAAGGACATAGCTTGGTTTTTCCTAAAAATTCTTTATTTTACTATAAGTCTTTAGCAGCACACCTACTCCAGATATAGTCTCTAATTCAATTGGGTTGAGTGTCACAGCACTTGCAATTATGCCAGATACAACAAGACATGCTAATGATAAATTACATTATAAATTAAATTGTTTAAAATTTTTTTATTTTCTCCTGTCTAAAATAATAGCAGGAATTTCTAATGATAAAATCAGTATGAGGATTTGATTTCATCCACCCACTCCTAAGATCGATATGGCTTCAAGTCTACCAAGAACCCTCCTCCACTCGATGAGTTAAAGAAATTTTCAGATGACATGCTAAAGATTTTACAATCAACAAAATTCAAACAAGTAAACAACCCTTTCCTAAACAAACTCAAAGACGACACCAAACACATGAAAAAGGAAACCAAGCTACTCATTGTCACTGACAAAACAATGAACTTTTACAAACTAGAACCATCAACATACAACAATCTACTAGAACTAAATATCACACAGTCCCACAAAAAAGCACAACGTAATACCACATGAGCCATCCATTCAGAAAACAAAAACATCACAAAGAAACTGGGCATTGGTGACAGGATGGACACCACAGTACAATGACAAAATTTGTAAGTCCTGTGTGTAACTGATGCCAGATTTATTCTTCAAAACCATACCAATTGTGAGGTAATTGGGAGTCACATTATTGTATTTATGAAGATGAATTATACTTCAGCTTTGATCACTAAAGATATTAGTTGATGTTCACAAAACTGTCTCAACCCTACTAGTAGCAGATATTTGGACTGTTGAATGGCCAATTGATGCTGAAGGAAAATATAATTTAAAAACGACAGTGTATTCACTAGTTGCAAAAGGGTACATATTCAGACCTACACAACTGCCATAAAACCCTTTGCTTGCATCAAGATGAAGCTTCATCTCATATGTCTCTTTTTTATTTGGTGAAAATCTTTAAATCTTTGTAGTTTGGACACCTGATACATCATGTTTGTCACTAAATTCAGAACTTGGGTTATCCATGAGATATTGAAACACATTAATATCATCTTGATATGGAATGATTTAATCTGTCATCGAAGTACTCTGTAGGTTTGTATTGCTGTCAGACATCATCTAATTGACATAAGTGTTAGCAGCATAAGTGCTTTCATGTGCATGTGCCTCTTTAAGAGTTACGATACTTCTTGTATTCATATTGAGATTGCCAGACATTATTTTTGACCCATCCATTCTCAAAAATATGTTTGTTTTTGTATCAATATACCATTTGTTTGAAGCGCCTGTTTAATTGACTGGGTCAGCTGGATTATAAATATTGTTTCCCTTCATGTCAAGGCTGTTGGACAAATTATCATTTAATATTATACGAGATTT